ACTCTCTCTTATACATGAGTTTCTGTGGATTTGTTTCTCTAACATACCCAGACTAACACACCCATGAAATCTGTAAGGGAAAATCCTTTCCTCGCTTGTCCACCTTCTGGTAGCCCCAGACATTCCATGGCCTCTGGGGGAATGGTATCCATCTCTGCCTCCACCTTCATGTGGCCATCTTCCCTCTGTGTCTCTTCTCTTTTTATGAGGACACAAGTCATACTGGGTTAGGGCTGACCTGATGCCAGTACCACCTCATGCTAACTAGGTACCCTGTTTTCAAAGAAGGACACATCCAAAGGCACCAGAAGTTAGAACCTGAAATTACCTTGGCAGGGATATACAATTCAACTCACAGCAGAAAGGCCACGTTAATCGGAAAGAGCTGGGAAATAGCCCAGGGAAAATGACAGAGCTGGTCAATCGCCAAGTCAAAACTCTACCCCAAGGTGCTAACTCCCAGTCCAGGCACTCTCCAGACACACAATATGCTCCAAAACCAATGAGAGACTGGCTTCTTGCATTTTAAAATGAAATATTGTGAGATTGGCAAGGATCAGAAAGGGCAAAAAAGTAAAGCATCGATTTTAACAATGGCCTGTCCATCTTCGTCGGGGTAAAATCCAAGCTGTAAACTACAAGGTGCAACACCAGTCATGCCCCTGCCTATTACTTCTTCAGCCTCACTTCCTGCCCTTCTTCCTCCTGCTCCTGAGAATCCACTCCTGCCACCGTGACCTCCTGCTCATAGCAGGTACCCTCCAGCCTCGGGACCTTTGCTCTGGGCAGCTCCCTGGGCCTGGGAAGCTCTATGTCGTGATTTCTAAGCAGCTGCCTCCTGTAAGTCATGTAAGGTTTTGACCCAGAAGTCACCTTTTCATCAAAACCTTTGGTGGGTGCCCTGGATAAACATTTCATTTCCCGCTTGCCTGCTTTTCCCTCTCCCCTTAGCACTAAGCATCATGCAGTGAGTGACTTCCCTATGTTGTTCACCATCTGTCTTTCCCACCAGAATCCACAGGCCAGGCAGTCAGAGGCTCTAGCAGTGGCTGGCGCATACATAACCCTCAACAAATAGTTGTTGAATGAATACGTGATGAGGACACCCACGCAGCACTAAGCAACTAACAGGATGTCTCGGTGAGCTCAATGTCATTTCCATTTTGAGTATAGCACACAAAGCTAATAACTAAAGAACGCAAAGGTCCACTCCACAAGGTCAAGGTCAACAGAACAAGGGCAGGAGGCCAAGAGACACCTGGGTCTACTCACCTGTACAGAATGACTCAGAGCTGGAGGCCCCCTCGGTGACATTCCCAACTTGGGGGAAGATCTCCACTGTGTAAGTGGAGCCTGGTCTTAATTCAGCGATGGTGGCACTGGTGATTCCAGCATCCGTGATTGCCTCTCTCCGGCTGCTGTTGTTCCCGACAATAAGGAGGTGGTACATGTACGTGCTAGAGGCGTTATCAGAGTTCTCCCAGCTGAAGGTTGCTGTGGTGGTGGTGGTACTTATCACGATGTTGGACACACTGCTAGGCCCTGGGTTCAAAGAAGAAGAAGAAGGAGCATGTGTTAACTTGACTCCTGGGATGATTTTTTTTTTTTTTTTTTAACCACGGCCAGAATTCAGCCTGGTTCAGCTCCTTGGCAGAAAGAGCGAATTTTTCCTGATTCATAAAATGGAAGATTTCCTAAGAAAATGTAGTCAGAAAGGAAGTATACAGATGAATTCTCAAAAGAATTCACGTCAAAAAAAAAAAAAAGGAAATAAACAAAAGAAAATAATTAAATGAATTGTAAAAGAATTCCATTTTTTCAGATTCTTTTTAATACTTTCAGTTTAGTAGTGTACAGGGTTACACACTGAGATTAGCAGCTCAAAACCGGCTGTAGCTTCTTGGGAGAAAGATGAGGTTTTCTACTCCTGGAAAGAGTTACAGTCTCGAAAGTCCACAGGGGCAGTTCTACTCCTTGATAGGGTCGACTGTGAGCAAGAACTGATTCATTGGCAGGGAAGATTTTTTACGCAGCTATTTGCAACATACAAATTCCGATCTGTTTTTAGTCTGGCAATTACATTTAAAAAATACACTGGAAAGATATTATAAACTATCAATCTTTCACATATATATATAAATTTACCCAGCCCCAGGCAATTAAAAACCATTGTACTATAGCCGCCCATAATCCAAGATCAAATGTACAGATCTGTTTTTGCAACGGACCTGCATCGTCCCAGGGCCCCCTAGGGCGGTTGGCATCACTCACTTTGAAAAACACAGGTCTATGGCATAGATCTAAGTCACGGGTGAGCTAAGTACTTCCCTTGTCAATACATGCAAAACTCCTCAACCTGGAAGCATTTTCAATGCCAACATGACAAGGTGACTGCTTCTCTGTATTCCCAGTGAAGTCATAGAACAGGGATTTTCCACCTTGTCACTTTCTGCTTCTAAAGATGATGCTTAATGGATGTGGTAGTTACATAATCTGGTGTCAATTTGGGACTTGAGAGGATTAAGAGTGAAGGGGTGGAGTCTATTCTGTCAATCGGGTCATAGCCAATGAGGCCTCTGTGTGGGCATGGCCTTCTCCTGAGAATTCTGGGAACTCCTGGATTTGCCTCCTTGAAGGCGGGAGACATCTCTCTGTCGGTTCACTTCCTGGGAGACATTGCAGCTGACAAGCCACATGGACCTACCCTGATGCAGCCCTGGGTGCTGGAGCAGCCATGTAGAGACTCCTGCCAGCACTGAGATGCTTACACCGCCACTGGATCCAAAGACTTTCTACCCACTGGCCTGTGATCGTCCTGTATTCGGAGCCAGTCCATGTGTTTCGTGAGTCTGGAGAGGACTTTATAGATTGGTATTGGACATCGGGGCTAATATCGGACTTATGGTCTTGGACTGGACTGAGTTGGGATGCTTTCTTAATACACAATTACCCTTTATATAAAACTCTCTCTTATATACATATGAGTGTCCCTATGAATTTGTTTCTCTTGTCTACCCGGACTAACACAATGCACAAAGTTTCTATAGCAGCACCCCCTGACAATGGCTGCCCCTTTGCTGCCAGAAAAAACAAACAAACTCACCACCGTGATGTCTATGCCCATTCATAGCAACCCTAGGGGACATGGGCTCTGTGAGTTTCCGGGGAATAGAAAGCTTTTCACAGGAATAGAAAGTACCATCTTTCTCCCAGAGAACCTGGTCGTTCTGAACCGCTGACCTTTCACGTCACAGCCCAAGGCGTAACCACTCTGCCCTCAGGGATCCCCACTTGTCAGGGCATGTTTCCAAACTACGCCATTTCTAACTCTCTGGAACCCAGAAATGCAATCACGCCTTATCTGATCTTTCAACTCAGTGGGTTGACCCTTGAACGTCATGGGTTTGAGCTGCATGGGTTCGTTCCCTTACACGTGGATCTTGTTTATATGACCCTCATCATTTCCCCATGATCAGTTCTTTTCTCCAGTAATTGTGTATCACAGGGGAAAAAGGGGGTCTCTCTGGTTCCCATGTGTTTTTTACTGTTTAGCACAATGCGGTAAACCTTGGATGACGCCTTTGGATCCACACCACGTACCTCCCGCGGCTCTGACGGTGCTCTCGGGAAGCACAGAAGAATCATGACATTGCAAGTAAAGGGTGACGTGCTTGATACCTGACAGACTGAGCTCTGGCTGTGCACGCCCGCCATTTCAAGATCATGAAAAAACCCCAAAAACTGGTTTTCAACAGCTTCTGTATCTTCTTGCTTTTTGTTTGCTCACATTGGGGTTTATCTCAGGTGTATTGTGTCATTGGGGAGCACTCTCATGAATTTGTGTTATGTGTTTTTCTGCTTTTCAGTATAGGGAAGCCAAGATTGATGAACCTAAAGGGACAGCAAGTAGAATAAGGATATTGGTGGAGGGGGGGCGGGGGCCGCGAGGAGAACATAGTGGGGAGGGGTTACGGGTAAAAGGGAACCAATTGGAGTCCAGGAAGGAAAAGAATGTTTGGAAACTGATTGTGGTAACAGCTGTACAATACTGCTTGATGTGATTGAACTATGAAATGATATATGTATGAACTCCCAATTTTAAATATTTTAAATAAAATTAAAAAGCCAAGAAAATTCATGAAGCTACTGCTCTGGGAGAAGACACAAAAAACCTTGCACTTTTTGTAAAAATAGATTTTGATCTCAAATGGACAATGCCACGTTTATCTGGGTGCAGTATATAATACATCTAACCCACAAAATAGGTGCTAATGGACAATTTGGGGTTATTGGTAAGACTTCCAGTCCACAGTAGGCTCTTAGTAGTTAAGTCTGGGTGTGGATTTTTCGACTGCCCAGAGGGGTCCGTGGCCCTAAGGGCCAGCCGTACTTCCTTCCTGTCCTCTGCGCAAAACTGCGGTGAGCACTCCCTAGGAAAGAGACTTACGTGTGTAATCTGCGATGGAGCTGGAGTTCCCCAGTACGCTGTCCACTTCGGGTGTGATGGTGATGCTGTACAGGGTGCCCGGCATGAGGCCAGTCAGAGTGATCTCTTTCTCCCGGCTGGACGTGCCCTGCGTGCTGACCTCAGGCTGTATATCTAAGTGGTAGGTGTATCGGGAAGCCTGGTCTGTGCTCTGCCACTCCAACCTCATTGCGGTTGTGTTGACATACACCACGCGGATGCCAAACACCGCACTGGAGTCTGGGTCGAGAAAAGGAAGAGAAGGAAATCTATGAACAGCCGTCATAAAAATCTACCTTATTTCAAAGTACTTACTGACCTCTGGCTGCTGGTTTACATGAGATTTGCGGGGGTGGGGGGTGGGCGGGGGTGTCTTTGATTTGGTTAGTTCACATGAATGGCTACAGTTATGAACATTTTGGAAAGGCTTTTCTTTGGGAAATTACTATTGCCTTGGAATAGTCACTCCATCTAGTCACTCACCAGTTTGACCGCGTACTGTCTCAGGGGGCCCTTCAGTCCCGTTTGGTCCTTGTGGAAAGATCTCAAAAAGATAGCGGGTCCCCGGGCTCAGGTCCCCAATGACAATACTGTGGTTGCTGGTGGTGTCCGTTTTATTCCACGCTTCTCCATCTGCATCCAGACGGGTGACTATCCTGAAGGCCTGTGCGTGGGTGCTACTCCAAGCCAAGCCGATCTCCGTTGTGCTGACATCTGTCACTCGAAAGTTGGACACAGGCCCAGGAGCTGCGGGAAGAAAATAAATGAACACATTAAGAATCTAGTTCTTCAGCAGATCAGAAGCTTCAAGGATCTCACGCTCACAGCAACCCTGTAGGACCAAGTAGAACAGCCCCCTGAGGGTTTCTGTGCCCGTCAATCTTTACAGGAGTAGAAAGCCTCCTCTTTCTCTCATGGAGCAGCTGGTGGTTTTGAACTGCAGTCCTGGTGGGGTAGAGGTTATGAGTTGGGCTGCGATATGCATGGTCATCAGTTCTAAACCACCAGTAAGTAGTTCCATGGGAGAAAAGACCAGGATTTCTGCTCCCCTCAATAGTCCCAGTCTTGGAAGGCTTGGGTTGGGTTATTACTACTGTGAAAACCACTGTGATACATACAGAGCTTCTGGCCCCAAACCCCAAAACCCAAACTCACTGCCATCGAGTCACTTCTGACTCATAGCAACCCTACAGTAAGAAATGGCCCTGTGGGGTTTCCGAAGCTGTAAATCTTCACAGGAGTAGAAAGTCTCATCCTTCTCCCGCAGAGAAGTCGGTGATTCTGAACTACTTACCTCACAGTAAACAGCCCAATGTGTAACTCACTACACCACCAGGCTTAAATAAATGCCTGGCAGATCTCCTATCAGCCTATCATCTAAGTGTACTACTTGTGTACCAGTATACTTTCATTTTAAAACATTAGGCCTTCTCTGGAGCAGGTGTTTGGCATCATATTTTTAAGGGACATACATCCAAATAAATGATGACGCAAAGAAGAATGCGTGATGACAGGATAAAGTCAATTTCCAGGAAGCAACGGGACGTGGAGATCCAGGTTCAATTGGCTTGGGTCTGAAGCACAGTAGAATGGCCAGCACAAGAACAGGCTGGCATCTAGCCCCACATCACTTCTGTCAACTTTGGCTTTCTCCCACTTAAAATAAGGCCAATGTCTCTGCGATGCTCACCTTCTCAACACAATCACTGAAGACAAATGGGTGCATAAGCAAATGTGGTGAAGAAAGCTGATGGTGCCCGGCTATCA